CGAGCCCCGGAGCGCCGCCGCCGCCGGGGTGTGAGCGGGGCCCGGCGCCGTGCCGGGCCGTCCCTCGCCGGCGGGGCCATGGCCGCGAGCGCCAAGCGGAAGCAGGAGGAGAAGCACCTGAAGCTGCTGCGGGAGATGAGCAGCCTCCCGCCCAACCGCAAGTGCTTCGACTGCGACCAGCGGGGCCCCACCTACACCGACATGACCGTGGGCAGCTTCGTTTGCACCTCCTGCTCCGGCATCCTGTGAGTGAGTGCGGGAGAGGACCGCCGGCTCCATTCCCCCGGCAGCGGTGACCTCCGCCCCCGGCCGCCGGGGCACGCGTCCGCAGGGCGGCGGCGGCCGGGCGGTGCAGCCCCGCCGCGGGTCTCGCAGCGCCGCCGCTCCCCCTGCGCTCGCCCTTCCTGTTGCCGGCTTGGCCACGTCGGAGGGCAGCGGGCAGGGGGCTCTCTCGGGGAAGGGAGGGAGGCCGTCGGGAGGCTTTCCCGAGCGCGTTCGCTGGAAATCCCCGTCGGAGCCCCCGGTGCGGAGGTGGCCGCCGCCGGCAGGGTGTGCGGCGCTGGGGCGCACGGCAGCCCCGCGGCCCGGAGATGATCCTGGGGAGGCTTCTCTGGCACACGGGGAGCGCGGGCAGCCCGAGCGCCACCACCCCACGGACGTGTTGGAGGGGTGCTTAATCAAGCAAGCGTACGACAATACTTGTGGAAAGGGAAGGGGCACGTGGCGTAGCAGTTCGCTGTCATGACAGCCTTGAAGATGCGGGGATACGAACCCTGTCGTGAATGCGTTTGCAGATGGTACTTAAACGTTAAGTTAAACCACCAGCATAGCTTTATGTGCATCGAGTTCTGCTTGGTGGTAGTTTGTAAGACAACCCTTTAAGCTCTGTCTCAGTCTATAAACTCCAGGCCCAATGGTTTAAGAGACTTGATCAGAAAAGTAGAAGCTGGTTGGGGTTTTCTGACTTTACATCGACTATTTCCTACAACCTACATATATAAACCTTGGAAAGGGATTGGCGCTGATAAAGTGATTGCATTTTTCCTGTTCCTCATTCCTGTATGGGCCTTCCCACTACTCCTCCCTTTTCCACCCATCCTTCCCAGAGATAGTGTGTATGAAACTAAGAGTTGAGGTCATTCAGTTGTGAATTTCAGTCACATATACATAATTTGGGAGAAAGACCCTGCTGTCTTCAGTGCTGCCGTCTCCTTAGCTGTATGTTTGCTTTTACAAGATTCTGTAGCATTGTGCTAATGGAATGGAGCAGAATCAGAGTAACCAAAGAAGTAATAAATAGTATGTCAGAGGATACAGATTGGTGTTTCTAAAAGGCATTCAGGAGCCTGAACTAATTTCTGTCCCCTTACTTCCCCAAACAGCCCTTCCAAGTAAGGTCTTGTGTTCTAGAACAGAGTTGGTAATTATGTTGAAATGCAAAGCAAATATATTAGTTCTTTGCTGAATTTACATGGAACAAACTGTCTTTTATACTAATAGACAGCTAATTAGACTTGGAGTTCTTCTACTCTATGTAGGCTTCTGAGCAGACTTGATGCAAATACAGAAAATACATTTAGGTTGTGAAATTGAAAAGAGACTAGTTTTTTACACAAACATGCCACTCCATCAGCCAGCTCTGGCTATTGTTTGCTCTCTTAGGAAACTGTTATTTGTGCTGGCATGTGAAGCTATTTTAAGCTACTGCACTGAGCTTATTTAATGGTTGCACATGTTCTTACTGGGTTAAACTGAAAGTGTGGTAAAGCTGTACCATGAGAGTGTTTGTCTTTATTTTTCAGGCTTCTTAACCTTAATAGACAAGTATATTGTGAATGCTGCTGAGATGCTTAGCGTGGGTTCAGGAGAGTCTGTTCCTTTTATCTGTTGGCTGGGAGGTATGGACTGCTAACATAGTCCAATTTACAGCAACCAAAAGCATGTACAGGCAGTGAAGCAGCTCATAAGCAGGGGACAGCTGCCACTTGGTGTTGGCCATCATTTGGATGTTACCATGCTTAAAGGAGGAAGACTATCTACAAAAACATGGTTAATGTCTTGGTATTCCAATGAAATGCAAATGTTTTTTTCATTGTAAATGTGCAGTGTTTTTGTCTCGCTGCAAAAAAGCAACCAGAACGTTTGGTTCTTACAGCTAGTAACACATTTACAGCTGGAGTAAATGACTATTAAGAGGACTTGAAGTTTCCCTCTAAAATCAATTTGGACTCGTTCTTTCATGTCAACTTAGAAAAACTTCCATAAGTTGTGTGTGCAGGATCATATGCATTGGTTAACACCTCATGACCTAGCCAGTGGCATGTTTATTTGTTAGTGATGAGACTCGGTGTAGGTCATGTCTGTTTCATAACTAGAAACTTATTTTTAACACTCTGTCAGAACAGTTCTTCAAACAACTTGTTTATTTCCAAATGCTTGTCCCTGTAGAATTTCATGGTGTAGGGAAACGACTTGGGAACAAACAACATAGTGGCAAATATAAAAGTACTGCTGCTTTTGTAGTTCTTATTGGCTGTTTGTGTTCTGCCTCATAGCACTTGCTTTACTGTAAGATTGTAATAATCTTAGTACTTTATCTTGTTTATATGCTATGTGAATGACTTGCATTGCTCCTTGGTTTAATTTTTTTTTTTCTAATCTGGTACAGGAAGCATTCTTGGAGTCAAGTAGACTAGTTTTTTCAAGTATGAAGTGCCCAGTGCAAGATTAAAATACTAGTAGATTAAAAAGTCTCCTTCAGAAAGGTTTCTCAATTAAAAGACATCAGTATCATCTTAAATAAGCATGTTATTCTAGAAACAGTTAACTCTAAACTCTTTTAAAGTGTAGTATAACTTTTTTTACTAGTTTTCTGAACTGTTTATTCATTGTCCTGGCAAGGACTGTCTAGTCACATCCAAAATCTTAATTCTGCATCCATCCTGAATTTCCTTTAAGTATTTCATGTGTATCAAAAGAATGATGTTATGTATTACTAGATTTAGCTTTAAAAACCTACTATTCCCTCTACTAGTTTCCCAAAACAGCGTGTCTAGCTTTTTCATATGCTGCTAAAAACAGTGACAGAACTAGTGGCTTTGCTAAAAAGATTCTGTTTCTGACTTAGTGCTGAAGGTGAGTCTTGTCAAGTCAGAAGTGTGGATGACAGGAGGTTTTTTTCCATAGTACGTGGGGTTTAAGTGACTGGCTCAGATCAGGCTCACCAGAGCAGAAGTTTTGCTGTGCAAAATGGTGCATGTAGCAGAAAGTTCATGCACAGTGGTGTGAATCAGCTTCCTCTTAAAATAGTTCCACTAGTCCCCTGTGTTTCAATTCTTCATGTGGGCAAAAAAAGTGTGCTAGCATTACACAAGGTAACTCAGCTTTTTGGGGTTGTACAAGAATCTAGGATATCTGGAATTATACACACTTCCTGCCTGAGAGCAGGAGGAGGTGCTCTGGCAGAGCAGTGTGCTCAGGTCAAGATTACAGTCATACACTACAGGAAGATTTCTCCTTATTACAGCAAACCTGCATCTTGGGAAATGTTGGCAGGGAGATTATTTTGGTTTGACAGAAGTCCTTTGATTCAAAGGGTTGTGTTGGTAGCTATGACTATTGTTTTCCTGGATGCTCCCATGTGGCCTGCTGACAGTGACATCCTTCCCTTTGTCTTATCAAATGCCTCTCTGCCTTGTATCTCAGCTGTCTGTGCATCTCTGCTTTCAAGTACTTCTGTAGCACTCACAGTCAGCCCGCTCCCAACTTTGATAAAAAGAAAATGTTTTTCAGTTCACCAACGGAAAATATTTAACAGTCTGCTTGCACGTGTTTTCTATTATATATATATATTTTTAATCTTGACTCCTTTTTGTATCTGCTGATGTGATAATTCAGGCACTCCTATCCTTTTTCTCACTGCCCTCTTAACTGCCTTCCAACTTACTTAGGAAGTCTCTTGTTCAGCAACAAGGAATGTTTAGAACATAATAGGTACTTTGAGAAATGCTAAAGCCCTTTTATGCTAATTTTTACAACTGTTGGCCTTCTTCTGGCTGCTTGTAATGCTCCTAGTTGCAATTTTAAATTTAAAATTTTCATGGGTAGGGGACTTCTGTATCAGCCAGACAGAAGTATTTGGTCACTGATAGAATAGTAACAAACTGTAACATCTCTGTGCAGGGGTGATAAGTTATTGTTCTATCCCTAGAATAAGTTTAGCAAAAATTAAAATAGTCTACATAAACAGTGCTAGAGTGAAGGTGATTGAGTTAGCATGACTTTTCAGTCTTTTTTTTTCCTTTGGAGCATGTTTGGAAAATGACTCCATGTGTTCTGGGTCTCTCTGTGTGTATATATATATGTATTTTAAGGATATTTTCTGTGTTACTATATTTCTTGTTTTCAGTTGCAAGGCCGGAGAGCAAAGGAAATGTGTCTATTCCAAGTGAACACTGTGCAGTTCAGAAAGAATGTCTGGTTATTTTTTAAGAAAAAGCCTAAATTAACCTTAACTCTGCTTCAAAATGTGTGTATGAGTCGTCTGCTATTAAAAATAAATGAGCTTGTGAGATGGTGGAGGGTCTCCAGGGAGGTCTACAAGTATCAGGAATGGCCAGTGCTGCTTATATTCCTTTTTGCTAATTACAGTAGCACAGAAATAATAATGAATGCTGTGATACTGGGTTTTCTGGTGCTTGTTTTCTGGACATCTGGGTGTGTGGGGTGCTCTGTGATGGCTTGGTATTTGACTTGCCTCATTAACTTCCTGAATTTTAGGGGATCAGATTTTGCAGGCTTAGGTTTGAAATGGTGTTAAAATCTGATCCAGGGGACGTTAGCAGTGTTGAGCAGCCGTCTGCCCACCATTCCTCCCACGAAAGGGACCCTCTGTTCTGCCAGAGCTCACTCTTCACATTTTTCTCCCCTCCCAGCCCCAGCCTTTGCAGTCGGCTGCTCTGCCAACAATCACAAGTTCAACTGTAATTTGCCGCTAAATTATGTTAGAAACAAATATCCACTGCTTGTTGACTGTGTTTTGAATGTTTAATGTTTCAACTGCCAGACTGCAGAATCCTGTGTCAGTGGCCTTAAAGCTTCCTTTGTTTGCGGGAGCACCAGTTTAACAATGCCCTCTGGAGAACAGAGGTCTCATATTCTCTGAAGCTGCCCCTACGCTAAGCTGTGACTCAGTGAGGGTCAGTGGAGGAGACTCTCCGGGCTGCAATCTCTGGTCACAGTGCTCTTCCACAGAAATAATCGTTGCTGAGCGTGAAGAAGTTGGCAGTGATGAGTGGGATCTCTGTGTGGGATGTTCTAGCTCTGGTGTGCTGGATAAGTGCAGATGGCAGGAATTGTCTTACTCTGTCATCCTTCCCCAGGGCCTCTTGGGAGGAGAGAGCTGCAGTGTGGTTGAAGTGCTGAGGTAGCGTTTGGTTGCTGCCTTCCCCAGGAGCCCTGTTGTAGGGAAGGGAGTAACTGGTACTGCTGCACAGGGGCAGGTTGCAAATACTTGTTCAGGGTCAATTTAAATTTAGGCATGGATAATTTGCACTAAGGGACTGTAATCCATTCTGTCCCCTGTTAAATAGGGAGCACTGTAAAGCATTAGAACTGTGTGAAACACTTGTCAAATACGAGGAGAGAAACATTTTTCCTACGAAAAAGGAGGTTTGTTAATTCCTCATAAGGGATAATTGTACTTGGCTGTCTCCCAGAAAGCTTCCCCCATATGTAGATGAGGTGTTTGTGAATCATTTGAGTCATTAAATAGTTTCTGTAAGGTAAGGAAGGGTTGGTCCTTGAATCCTGTTTCAAAAATTGCACAACTGCTCTGTTTTAGGGAAATTCCGGGCAATTCATGGGTGTTAGTTAGAAATCATAAAAAAATAGAGTTTGTTGTTCTAATGGTAAAATCAAAGTAATTTCTCTAAGGAAAACAATGCTTGGGCTGTGTTTGTGTGCAGCTTCTTGTCTTGAATTCCTTGTTCCGGGCTGACTTCTTAGACTGCTTTAGCATAAGAGGAAGCTTTACATAGGTTCCCTGCATCCTTTGCCATATTCAATGGACATAAATACTTGAATGTACAGTATTGCAGCTTTATAGTTTACTTTAGATGATGGCTGTTAAAGTTTTGTTCGGAATTTCCAATACTCCTGAACTACTGACTTGGTGCCATGCTCTCTTTCATCCTGCCAGACATCTGACACCTCTGTGTGGTGATCGGATCTTTAGAGGAGGATGTCTTCCTTCTTTTAGCAGGATGGTGTAAGAGAAATGTGAATTCCTCTTATCCCACGTGGATATAGTGTGTATACCAGGAAACCTTATATGTCTGAACTCTTCACTGGAGAGAGAGGCATGGAGGAAGTCCCTGGTGAGATTTAACCAAGTCTTATCTAGGCCTCTACCATGTTTAATATTGCTGCTTAACAGAGCTGAAGGTACTGAGGATGTCAGTGTTTGCTGCTGTAAATGCTCTGAAGAGCCCTGGTAGAGCAGTGTGGAGTAGGTAAGTCTTAAAGAACTTGTGCAGTGCCTTGAAATTGGAAACGAAGGTACAACAGAGCACTTAAACTGTACTTACTGCAAAAAGGAATTTCCAGCAGGAGCTAGTGGGAAAGTTGGGATACACTACCTGTGCTGGGAAACATGTGAATGTGTTAGTGAATAGCTCTCGCTTTTAAATAGCCATTAAATAGTTTACAACTACCTAACTGTGCTGCTGTTGTAATTACTAGGAGGAGAGTAAACTGAACAGACTAAGACAGACAGAACTGCTTTTATACTTACTGTAAAAGCAAGGGACAGTAATTGTCATGTAACATTTGATGGAGCAGATCTGTGTGAAATGCCACGTGGATGCCAAATTTGTTTCTATGCTGTCACTCAATATGTGATGCTAAAAGTGCCATTTATGAAATGTAATTACTTGCATGCACAGACCGAGAAGGTGTTTCTTTTAAAAGCCAAAAATAAGCAAAACCTAATCCTAGCACCAGCTCTGAAACAATGAGTTTTAACTGCATAGAACTCCTACAGGTTTGTTTTAAATTATATCATCTTAAAATGAGTACTTACTTTAAAAAACTTAGATAATGTTGTAGTATTTTAATAAATGTAGTTTGTGTAGATGATACAGCTAGATGAAAGATGTTAAATTAGCAACTTTAATTTACCAAGAAATTTAAATATTTTGAGAGAAGATAGTTTAATTAACTACCGTAAAACCAATCTCACCAACTTCAGTGAAACTTCTGCCTTGTTAAGGTGCTGAACTGTGGAGTCTGATGTCAGCTGCTCTGATTTCAAAAGTTTGCTGAAGCAAATGGTATTCTGTAAAACTAATTTTATGTGCCTGTAGGTTTGTAAATGACTTCTGCTTTTAAGTATTCAAAATGCCTGCATTTCTTTGCAAAATACAATTAATTGTTTATCCAAGTGTTTCAAACAGTGATGATCTCAAATTTGTTTGAGAACTTAGAATTTGTCTGATGAAACTTAGGCTAAAATGTTACTGCTTAGTGTTCTAACCTATTCAACTTCTGATTAAAAATGTGGAGTTCCTTAACACAGGACCAGAATTGTCTTACAGGTACACTTGAATTTGGGTGTGAAGATGAATTTCCAAACAAAATGCATAGTAGTATTTTTCCCATCAGACTTACTTGGAAAACTTGAAGTGCTAAAATTTTTCTGCCAAAGCTGAATATAATGTTAATATTTGGAATATCAGATTTTTGTCATAGGGTGTTCTGATGGATAACAATTTAATTTATAGCTAATGTTCTTGGGATAATCATGGAGTTTGGAGAAAACTGCTGGCTCTCCTAATGAATATAATGTTAATATTTGGAGTATCAGATTTTTGTCATAGGGTGTTCTGATGTATAACAATTTAATTTATAGCTAATGTTCTTGGGATAATCATGGAGTTTGAAGAAAACTGCTGGCTGTCCTAAATTAGATGCTAGTGTTGGTTTTTTTTAATTCTTAAAAGCAATCTGAACCAAATTTAGAATTAAAAGTGTAGGGATAAATACAAACAGTACAGCTATCAGTTGATTTTCTTAGAGATTTGTTAGGCCTGTATTGCATCCCTGGAAAGCTTTTGGTGTGCTTTGCTATCTCATGGTTAATGTTTATGAATTGTTTTTTAAGATGGTATTTCAGAAATCCAGGCCTGATTAACCTGAGTGTTAAACTGGCCCCTGGGTGAGTGTCTCCAGTGCTTGGCACACACAGGATGGGATGTTCTTGCATCCATTGGGCAAAGCACAGCTTGGGTTTGATCGAAAGCAGTTGTGGGCAAAAGCAGTAGCTAGCATGTATTTAACGAAGGAGCTGGAAAGCGAAGAAAGCTTTTTGTTCCCTGCTGCTGTTGCTCAGCGTGTTTTCTCTCTGTGCTCGCCGGCTGTGACTGAGCTGGGTTTGACGGTGTCAGGCTGCGGCAGCACAAATGCCCGGTGTTCCGCTGGCCCTGCTGCGGCAGCCCGGCGTGCATGTGAGAGTGCTGCCAATCTGGGCTTCAGGCAGAGCTGCTCACGTTTGGGGCTGTGGCATTAGCAATGGTATCTCTCATTTGAGAGCCTGCTAAAACCAGTGCCTTTTTGCTTTTATTGCAATTACTTCTGAAGGGTTCAGGAAGAGGAGTAAGCCTCTGTCAGTGCAGGGGCAAAAAGTAAACTATAAAAAGATGCTGTGAGGAAACAGGAAATGTAGGTTAAAGGAAGACAAAAATACTGAGCTGGGCAGTTTAGCTTGAAGAGATCTAGTTACTGTGTAGAAGTTGTAATGAGAGATCAAAGTGAGGAAGGAGTTGGAGGGAAAGGAAACTACAACCAGGAAACCCAAGAGTGAGAGACAAAAGGTAGAGGCAAAGGTGAAGCAGATTATGATTTGAAAAAAAAAAAAGGTATAATTTTTTTTTTCTTAAATTTGCATAGAAAGTGTCTGAGTGACTTTGCATGAGCGATTGTGAATATTGGTCTCCCCTGAAGTTCTATTATTCGGCTTTGTATACTGAGTGTTACTTTGAGAAGAGTTGTATGGCATTACCAAGAATGAGTGTGCTTTACAGAGATGGCTCCTGATTTTAAAACTGACTTGTAGCTGTAGCATTAAACGTGATTGTATGATGGCAAATTTCCCAAATGCTGAATACCTCTTTCTTCTTTCAGGAGGGGCTTGAATCCACCCCACAGAGTGAAGTCGATTTCAATGACTACGTTCACGCAACAGGAAATAGAATTTCTGCAGAAACATGGAAATGAAGTAAGTATTATTTGGAGAATAAAGTGGGTTTGGCACTTTAGTATTAAAGTTGAAAACACCACTTAAAGAAAACTTAGGGTTTTTTGTTTAGATTTTTTTTTTTGGCAAAAGCTAGACAGAAGTCTTTTGAAGCCAACATCGTTTGAAATGAGGCTTCTGGAGAGCTTGTTTCATTGGGTAGCTGATCATCATAATGTTATTGCCCAACCCACACAATCCAGACTCACATGATCAGTATTTCTGAATTGGGTTTTCTTTTGATTTTGCATAAGGCAATATGCAGCTACCTTTTATTTTTTTTCCCTGTATGCTCAGAACTTGAAACTGACTGCAGTTGCAGCTACTTTTTTTTTTTTTTTCCTGTATGCTCAGAACTTGAAACTGGGTGCAGCAGTATTTCCTAAAGAGTGTACTCTGCCAAAAATAAATACAAAAATACACCTTGTAGCTGTATTTCTTCACACTTGGTGTCAGAAAGTCTTCTAGTAGTTTTAATACTTAATATAATACTACTAACAATAAATAATTTATAATTAATAAAAATAATTTAAATGCTTAATAAAAGTATATACATATACTTGCATATGTGTATTAAAGTATATCCATATTGAGTGTTCTTGGACAGAGGAAGGTAAGGGAGAAATTGTTATCTAGTGAGTAGTTTGTGGCAGCTTTGAAGAGGAGAAGTTCTAGCATACTGACTTTTTGTTCCTTTTAATAGAAGAAAAAATCTGAGGTAAATGTTGGATGGACTCTGTGGGAATACACTGAGCTGCTAAGCCCTGGATGTTGCTATTGCTGACTTCAGTTTGAGGGCGAAGTTTGTGTTTTAATAACATGCTGTAGCCTTGAGGATTTTAGAGGCAGATTTTGCCTCTGTTCAAACTAGATAAGGTTCTGCTTCACAGTGATTGCATCTGTACCCTGTTTAGTAGAACTATTGATTGTAGGCTAGAATGTGTTTTATTAGTGTGCTTTTGTGAAGCTTTGTGGGGATAAATCCCATCATTCAGTAAAATGCTGATACTTAACTTTCTTAAAGTTGGTCCGTTCATAACTGTCAGGTTGAAGAATGAAAACAGAAGTAGTAATTTCTTTTCCTGCCCTGGTAAACATGTGTTATTGTTGAAATGACTGATAGTGGCCAATTACTCTAGACATAGCTAGAACAAGGCCTGAACTCTCCCAGACTTTATAAAGTAATGTTGATGGCTTAGGTTGGTTGGGTTTTTTAAAACTGTAGAGCATTGCATATGTGTGTGTATATGTATAGAGCATATATTAGTCAGTATAAAAGTCAGTGTTACTGACTTTTTGGATAGGGAAATTTAATAAAGAATCTTCTGTGGATTCACATAGTGTGTTGGAGGCTCTTTCCCTAAGATTAGATTGTAAACTTCAGCTTTGCTTTAAGCTTCACAAAGTGTAAAGGAAAACGTGTTTGCAGCTCCCTCCCTGCATTTGTTTTATTTTCACTTTTTACTATACTTGCTATGTCTAGAGTGCTATGAGTTTGTTTTCACTGGTCTGGAACCTGAAGTGATTCCTTCTCAACTGATTAGTGTGGTTGTCCTTCTCATTATAGCCATAACTAGTCTGCTAATCATAATGATTTAGTTGATACATAATTTATTATTGACATTAAAAAAATTCACTCTGCAGTGCTACTCTGTTTCAAAAGCAGAGGTCTTTGCATTTGTAGTACTCTAATTAGAGAATTGCAATGATTTAAATGAGCTGCCTCATAAATAAAGATGTCCTTTTGAGTTTAGTTTTAGGTTGTTGATTATTGCTTTAATTCTTAAATAGAATTGCATAGACACTTGTAAGTGCCAATGGTACCTTTAAGGAGGGCTCAAATATTAAACAGAAATGATTGTTTTTTTAAACACTGTTAGAAGTTTAAAAGTTAAACATGTTGTTGTACTTCATATTGCAGTAGTTAAATGGGCATTTTGCTTTCTCTTGTTGGTGTTGTACTTTGGAATACTTATCTGCAGATAAGATAATGTGTTGGACAGAGGAAATTCGTCTCACCTCACAAAAAATGTTTTTTTTTGCTTAGCTTACGTTCAGTGTAGGAGGCTCTTGTGTGTATATGAAGAAAGAAAATTGCCCAAAATAAGACTTCTCAAACATGGAATTGTCCCATGTTGTAATATCAACAATTAAAACTATTCCACAGCGGTACCTATAAAATGAAGCTCAACTCTTTTGGCAATCTATCATGTTTAACTTCCATTTTTCTGTAACTTCTAAAATACTTTCATTCCAGCTCTGTTGTTTTAGTCTTTCTGTAACATGGGCAGGGCCTCTCTGATAACCTTTCTTGCTTCCAGATGAGTAGATTATGGTTGTACAATAGAGATCTTGTTCTGAATACAAAGTAAAATAGCAAGAAAACATCCCTGAGATAAAGTAGTTAAGGTGCTGAGTTATTCTTAGAGGAAGTAGTTTTCCACTCTCCTTCAAAGGGTATTTGCAAGGTCAGTTTATTGGATGAGGTTGAAGTCCTCTAAAAAAACCCAACCACTCAAACCAAACAAAGAAAAAAACCCAAAACGCTTCATAATATTTAAAATACCAACTTTTCCCCAGTTGTTGTAAATGACCCTCTTTGTGGCACACATGGGTAAAACATCCAGTTACTGAAAGGCTTCTGCAAAGCAACTGCTTCAGGAAGAGATTATTCAGAGCAGCTCTTGCTTAGGTGAAACACCATCTTCTTCCCCATATATACCCATTCTAAGAAATGTCTTTCTGGCACAGGTAGCTTGAACATTATTTTAAATGAGTTTTTACTGCTTCAAACAGAGTTTTAAATCCTTATACTGTGTTAAAAGGCACCTATATTTTGGTGTTGCTTCCTCATCTGAAGGTATAAACAACTGACAAGTCTCCAGTTTTGCTAATGTTGGGTTTAGGTGACTGCAGCAAGAATGGAGGCATCTTCCAGCTGGCATTCCTCAAGTGCCTTCTGAAGTCTTTTTGAAGGATAAAGGCAGTTCTGACTCACTGGTAGGCTTTTTCGTCTCCTTGCTGTTTTCATAAAGAGCAGTGTGAGGTATTTTCACATTTGCTCGTTAGGAATAACGAGGAAAGAGTGATATGGAGATGTCTGTTTGAGTACTCATCCTCAAATGATGCTAGCGCTGATTTGGCCTCTGATTCAGTTGTGCAGTGGTAGTAGGAAGTGAACTTGCTGTTTGAAGAAAGTGGAGGTGGTGCTAATCTTCTGTTGCCATTATAGCTGTGAATATTTATTCAGAAGAATAGTATTATGAGGCAAACCAGTTACAGAGTTAATTTTTCTCCTACCCATTTGAAAAATGACAGGTATTTTATAACCTTTCCAAATAACCCGTTCTAATCTGTGTGTGGTTGAAGAAAAAGATCTTGATGGTCTTGGATTTAGAAAATCTGTGCTACTCTGCAGCAAAGACCATGTTTACCCGAGGTAATGAGTAGAATACATGAGGGTATGCTCAGCTGCTGGGAGTTATTTTAATAGTGCTGAATTTTGGTTTGGTGCCAATTTTCCTGACTCTCAGTAGCACCTGTGCAAGTCCCCGTTTCCTGCACTCTTGCAGAACTGGCAGTAGTCTGAGTCTGGTTCAGAGCTGGTGTTAGTCCAGACCAGAGTGCTTCCCTAGAATCTCCTTTACTGTGGAATGTGGCCTGGAAACCCTGGAGTGGAAGGAGCCATCCTGAGCTGGAGCTGATGAGTGCTGACAGCGTGAGCTGTGCAGTCAGGTGTCCTTGGAGTACATTGCTGGTTCTGCTAATACGATACAGAGATACAGGAGCTGATTGTGTGTAGAACAATGGCTTTGTTAGCTGGATTTACTGGCTTCACTCTGCTTATGAAACCACTATAACTTCTGGACCCAAACAGCCTTTGAAATTAGTACTCTGGCAGTATAAAATTCCTTTAACCTACAGAGATTAATGAATAATATTGACATCAGAAGTGCAGGATTACTAAACAAAGCTTTAACTTGCTTACATGAAGAAACTGTTTTGAAATCTTTGTTCCTGTAGGGTGTTATGTTTTGGAACATAGTTTTGTTGTGTGGTAATGTGAAGTTCTTTGCACTGCCAGCATTATGTTTGGTGCATAACTGAGGATATTTTATTGGCAGGGATGGGGAGAAGAAGAAATCTAATTTGGCATTTACCAGCCTTCTGAAAGGTATTATCTTGTTAGAGCTTTTAGACTAGACTGACACGTGTAATCTTCCTATGCAGTGGTGTGTCTGGGTGTCCAGAAGTGTTGTAGGTCAAGTAGTGTGCTTTTTCCTAGGTTTGAAGTGCAGCTTCTGTCAACACAAGGATGTGTTCTGTGAGAGCTTTTCCTTGCCTTGCTGCCTTCACCACACACAAGAGCAGGAGGCTTAATGAGCAAGAGCTTAACTTTGCTGGCCTGACTGAATTTTTCTTCTTCCTGACTAGCACAACTGTGCTAACAGGAGTTTCTGGAGTGTGGTGGCTCAATGTGTTGTGTAAGCAGAAGGCCTTTGTCTCTCCTACATCCGCCTTTCCCCACACACTGGAGATATCTATCAGTGAAATAGTTATCACATGGCAAAGCTTTATGTGGTAGTTGAAATACATAGCATTGGAATAGAAATAACTGAAGTCTCAGATTCTCAGTGTTTCTGCAAAATTTAATGGATAGTGCTGATTCTTTTCTTAATTAGAAGTTTTTTAGTGGGCCTGTTCTTTCCTACTTGCCCAACTCTAAAAACAGACATGAAAAAACAAACCCCAAAACATGTGAACAAATATAAAGTGAAACAAAAGCTAAACTTCTGTGGAAAACAGGTACATGTATGTTTTTTTTTAGTCTTTGAACCCTTCTTGGAACTCCTGAAAGCATGAAATGTTACTGGAGGCTGGATTTTAAACCAGTAACCTTTCTGATTAACTTTGTGGTGTGCCAGATATGCACTGAATGGGATGTGTTCTTTGTTGCTTTCTGTCAAAGCTGAAAACAAAGG